TAGAAAGGGAAGGCCCCTCTGCGGTGGCACGTGGTCTAAGCCCCGGGGAAGAAGGAGCCGGCCATGAGCAAAGCCTAGGGAAAGAGCTAAAATGAAAGTTCAATGAGAAAAGACATTTTCATCACTCCTCTTCACCACTCTAGCCCCAGACCCTAGAAAATGCCTGGCACGCAGCAGGCGCACTACTGAGTCGTGCTCAGTAACAATGTTAGAGGGAATGCATAAAGAGTATTTCTGGCAGAGGGCACAACCGATGTAAAGGTCCTGGTTTAGGTAAGCACCACCCTGGCGTGTCCACAAAGAACCGAAGGGAGGCCAGCAGGGCTGTAAGTGGAGACAGTGTGACTGGAGCGTGCTGGGTGGGCGGTAGGGGATAAGGTGGGAGAGGGAGAGGGGACCGGAGGACAGAGGACTGTGTCAGCCATAGTTTAAATGCTAGGTTTTTCTCTTCTTTCAGAGACGCCACCGAAGGATTTTAGCAGATAGTGGTATGATCTAATTTATTTCACTAAAAGACCACTCTGGCTGCTGTCAAGAGAGGATATTTTAGGGAAGCAAGGACGGAATCAGGGAGACCTTCTGAGGAGCCAATGTATCAACTGAAGCAAGAGGTGCACCAGAGGCTTCAAGGCCAACAGTGGACTTGCTGACGGGCTGCGGAAAGGAGAACTGTGCAGTAATTTGTAGCTTTCTACTTTAGCAAGCAACAGACAGTTGTGCTATTTACTGAGACGCGGACAAAGGAACAGGCTGGGGAGAAGGAGAATAAAAACCAAGAGTTCTGTTCTGAACTGGCTGGCCTGACATGTCTTGGGTGAGAATGCCAGCTAGGAAAGCTGGTCACATGAGGCTGTAACTTCGAGGAGGTGGTCTGTGACAGAGCTATAAATGTGCAAGTCATCTACAGGAAGACAGTATCCAAAGCCAAGGGGACAAGATGAAATAATAAGTGATGGGTCTTTGTTGGGTAGTAACAACCATGTAATCGATCATGTTTCTCTTCTGGCTGGGTTGCCAGGAAGTTCCAAACACAACATAAATCTTAGGGGAAAATTATCTTCTTAGAGATTCTAGATATGATAATCTACCCCTTTTACTTTTCTTCTTCTTTATGGTGTCTAGTCTTCTTTCATGCAAACTCTCGGTCTATATACTCTGAGAAAGGAGAAACAGAAGAAATGAGGTAGTGTAGTGACATGATTAGGGAAGTCAGAGGGACTGGCACCCATATTACCTTGAGAAGTCTCCAATTACAGAAATATTACCTTAAAGTTATCTGGTGCCCTGTGCCTCTCTCAACGACTCCAAGCTCCTCAAAAGCATGAACCCTCTTAATCATCTTCTCATTGCTGTGAAGGGACCAATGTCCAGCTCAGGAGTACACAGGCAATACATGCATACTCCCATCTGTCACGTATCGGTAAATGCAAGGGGCTGAGGCCTTGCTCCAGTCCTCGAAAACTTAGTTCTAAATTGTTTTAAACATAGCATAGTGTGTGATTAAATACCAATAAGCAATGCACACAAATGTTAGGTAAGTTAGGGTAAATCTTCAGGGCCTGGATTGGAAGACTTCAAGGAAGAAAAAAAAAACCCAAAACTGAACCGGCTTTGGAAGATGCACAGTGTTTGGAGACATGAAAGCATATTTCAGAAAGCAGCCAAAGAACAGAGACAGTGAGGAGCTTATTCTGGCTGGAGGGAAAGAATTTTGAAAAAGCATAGGGGGAAGGGAGCTGGAAAAAACAGTGAAGGACACAGTGTGGACATCCACCTCATATTTGAGACTTCCAGGGAAGTTATAAATTTCTAAGAATTTCTAAGAGATGTTTAAGGAAGATCACACAAATTCAATGTGTAGAATGGATAGGTAAGCAGAGAAACTGTCAGGACTTAGTCTAGGCATAAGTTAATAAAAATCTCATAAAAAGGAGACCGCAGGTTCCAAAAAGTCAGAGTCCACCAAAACTTAGTGAATGATATGATATGGACAGACAGAAAGAGATCATGAGATTATCATCCAGGGCTTGAGGCCCACCGGGTCAGATCAGTAGTATGGTTAACAGAAATGGAGGCAGCAGGAGGAAGTGATTTTAGAAAAAGGTAATAACTTTAATTGTAGGTAGGGTAAGTTTCAGAGGACAGTGGCCACTCCCTGTGTTCAGGCTCCCCGCCCCTTGCAGCACAGTATGTATGCAACCTGCTCAAGTCCTTGCAGAGAAAAATCTTCCTAAGTAGTATTCTCACATAAACACAATAGAGAAGGTCTTCCCATAGATTACAATCTCTCCATGGCTGCAAAAGCAAACTTGAATGGATAAAAGCATAAACACAAAAATGAAAGAGGTGGCCCAAATGGTCTACTTCTACAAAGCACTGTGAGTTCACATTCAGATGTTTAAAAAAATATACTACTATGTGAAAAGATGCTCAACATTGTTGAGCCATGAGAGAACTGCAAATTAAAACCACAATGAGATACCGGTACACAACTATTACAGTAGCTAACAACATTTCTTTAATCTAATGACATAACAAATGATGACAGGGCGGCAGAGCACCTGGAACTCTCATACATTGCTGCAGAAGGGGACAACCACTTTGGAAAACAGTCTGACAGCTGAACTTATTTATTAAATGTATACTTTCCCTATGACCTCACTTCTAGGTACCTATCCAAGAGAAACAAAAACATATGTCCCCATACAAATATCTATATGCAAATTTGTAGCAGCTTTATTCATAACCATCAAAAACTGGAAACTCAAATGTATATCAACTAGTGAAGGGATGAACACACTGCAGTACCTCCATACAATGGGATACTACTCAGTGACAAAAAGGAACTACTGGGACATGCAAAAATATGAATGAATCTCATAAGCACATTAAGTGAAATAAGCCAGGCACAAAATGCTACATGGTGTATGATTCTATTTATAGGATATTCTGGAAAAGGGAAAACTAAATATTCTGTATTTTTGTAATGGTGGTAATGATAAACATTTGTCAAAAGTCATAAAAATGTACATTCACAAAGGGTGAATGTTCCTGTATCAAAATTACTCCATACACCTGACTTAAAAAAAAACAAAACTATAGCATTTTAGCATTTGCTCAAAGACAACTGTTAAAGCGTACTATTATTATCTATGATTACTCTGAAAAATTCTAGACACTTTTTAACTAGCTAGAATACTACAAATGTCCTTAATGCTGACAAGAAACAAACCCAACACTTTTTCCCTCTTCAGGCCTCAAAACATTCCTATGCAAAGACAGAGTGTAAGGATGTTAGCGAGTGTGCAGAAGCTGCGTGAATGCTGGTTATTGAGACACTAATAAAGTGAGTCTTGTTTGCTGGACAGCTGTTGGCTCCATTGTTCTTTGGTCACACATAGAAAAGGAAAGCTGTTATGCTCATGGAATGTGACCTTCTCACTGGAGAGCTGTTACATCATGCCCAGAAACACTGCCCAAGAAATCCATTCTCACCATGCACCACGAAGAAAATGGTGAAAACAAAAACAACAACAATGAAAAACCCCAGAAACTATATGTAAAGCCCATCGATAAAATAAGCTGTACTACTTAAAATCAGATCAATTATAAGAAACATTTGTCAATACGGAATATTCTGGTTTCTTTTGAGTAATGTTTTGTCTCATCTTACTACCCTTAGCATAGAACTTCCGTGTCCAAATATTTTTTTTTTTTTTTAACTTTTCAAAAGACATTTTGTATGACCAGGCTTTGATTACTAATTGCATACAATTATGAGAGTAATTACTTTTTGTATTATCAAATGCCTACCTAGGTACTTTGCCATTTTACAGTTTGGGCATTTATAAACCACTTTTACTTGGACAGGGTGTTCCATTTCTTTGATCATCATGCACAGCGACAGACACGTTACACGGCAACCCAGTACAGAGACGCATGTGTACCTGTGCAAGCAACACTGAGATTGTACAAAGTAAGACCTGTCCTTACCTTGTAAGATGTTCTCTATTATCTCCCTTTGCATTAGTCTTTAAAATACTGCCAAATACCCACACAATCCATATCATGACCTACCATTTTCAAAACCACTGCCCCAGAATATTTTAAAAAAGAAAACATTTCATCATGTTTTAAACACAGGCTTTTAAAAATTCATTTAGTTATTTGTTTTGAAGCATACAAGTGACCTTCCCTAAGGCTGACTCACAAGTCATCACACTCTGTTCCCCCCTGGGGATTCCCACACCTGGCTGGGGTGAGCAGCAGACATGGAAGGGATGGTCAGAGCCCACGGCCCCTCTGCTCCCTTAGCTGCCAGCCACTATATGTGGATGGGGGAGGCCTCGGCCAATGTAGGCCTACAAACACGCAGGGGGCCTTGCTTGCTTTCCATTCATACACATTCTTATTCCTTAACCTCTATACACACGTACACACGCACAGAATGAAATAAAATTCAACCAGGAAGAAAAAGAGTTGACGTACACACGTACACACGCACAGAATGAAATAAAATTCAACCAGGAAGAAAAAGAGTTGCAGGAGAGAAGAAAGTTAAGCTTTTCCTTAACATCCGTGGATTTCAGTCATGCCTACTACGCTTAGTTTCCAGCACCACGGATATCAGAACAAGTTTAAAAGACTGAACTGGCATGTAAATCACATGCAGAAAGTATTTTCAACTATCAACAATTCTGAGTTTTTAAACTGCTAGTCAAGGGTGCCTGGGTGGCTCAGTTGTTAAGCGTCCGCCTTCGGCTCAGGTCATGATCCCAGGGTCCTGGGATCAAGTCCTGCATCGGGCTTCCTGCTCAGCGGGGGAGTCTGCTTCTCCCTCTGCCTCTGCCCATGATCTCTCTCTCATGCTCTCTCTCAAATAAATAAATAAAAATCCTAAAAAAAATAAAAATAAATAAATAAATCAACTGCTAGTCAATATTATATTCTGCTATTCCACACTGAAAATGGTGGTCATTTGTGATAACTACAGAGAAATTTTACATGAAGATTGGAAAACTTACTTTTAAGGACTCCCACAAGGGAAACTGGACCAATGAGAAAGGAATCTGAAAAGAAAAAAAAAAATCAAATAAATTAGGCAGGAAAGATCAGAGTTTGCAACTAGGACTACTATCATGAACCTATAATTATTATTTAGAAACCTTAGTTTGTTTTGACTTCATGTATATAATAAAGCTAACATTAAATTTATAGGTAGGGTAGACATAGTTTTCAGAAAAAAAGTTAAGCCGCAACTGCCTGTAGAATTCTACTAACTTTCTGAGCCCAAGGGACATAAAATGATGGTGTGAAGCCCTTTTGAAACAGAAAGAGAAGCACAATACAAAGATCTGGCTACCGAAATGACAAAATATTTCCTATCACAAGCAATAAAGACTTTAAAGACTTGACATTTTTCTGCTGAAGAGCTGTCTACTCCTTAGCAGGCCAAGTGTTAGAGTTTAAAACAGAAACAGGGAGGAGGAGGGAGATGAAGGGGGAGAGGGAGGGAGAAGGGTCGAGTGCGGGGCAGGAGGAGAAAGTGGGGGGAGCAGGAAGAGGGAGAGGAGGAGGGGAGGGGAGGGAAGGGAAGGAAAGAAGAGAAGGGAGAGCAGAGGAGTGGAAAGAAGAAAAGGAGAGGCAGAGAGGGAGAGAAGGGCAGAGAGGAGGGGGGAGCGGGAGAGGAGTAAGGAACGGGTACACAAGGGAGGCCCGGGGAGGGATGGAGCAGGCAAGAAAGAGAAAAGAGGACACACACAGAGCCACTTACAAGAGGAGGCTGAGAAACGGGGACAGAGGAATAGAAGACCAGTGCGGGCAGTGGAAAAGGAGGGCAAGAGCGAAAGCGGGCCTGTAGGCAGGCTGGTTCCTGGGGTAGGCTAGGAGAGGAGTCATCTGCAGTAGCCAAATGGGATGCTGAAGACAACTGGCACACTCAGGGCAGAGTATCTGCTGTCAGTTGGTTAACAGCAAGAGCTAGAATTACCAAGCACTTCTCATATATCAGGCACTGTGCTAATGAGCACTTCCTGAGCTTTATTTCATTCCTCTCAACAACCCTGTACGACAGTTAGGTATGACTACTGTCTCCATGTTACAGATGAAGACGAGGTGCAGGGACGCTGTGTAACTTGACTAAAGAAACCCTGTGAAGCCCAGACAACCTGACTCCAGAGCCTGTCTACTACTCTACCTGGAAGACATCTAAGTGCATTTATCTGAACGTAAATTCACCCCCAGTAGAATCTATTTGCTTTCCATGACATCTTCTAAAATTTGAAAACGGAACCACACCTCCCTATTTCCTAAGACAAAAATGCCTGAACTCCAGTCACCACCACCCACTCGCCTCTGTGACATCCAGTCACTGCCAGAAGGGCTGTGCTGGGGTGATGCAGCTATGAGCAGGCCTCAGCCCCAGCCCTGTTGTCTGTCGTCAGCTGCCAGGAAAGAGTAAAACATGGACTTTGAACATTATCGATATGCATATGGGTGTGTGAGTGCTTGAAATGTGTGTGTGCTAGAGACCATGGTTTTGAAGGCATTAATGGATATTTACCTTCACATGAATCAAGAGCATCAAATTACTTCTGAAGTACTTACACTGAATCACAAATTAAAAGTCTAGCATCATCTGTCCTACTCTGCTGGAGTGAATGATGGTCCTGAGTTTGGGAGTGGACACAGAGAAAAAAAAAAACCTGTCTTTCCTTCAGGCAGGAATTGGCAGTAAGGGAAAAACAATCGATGACAACAGCCTAGTTTAGGCTGACAAAGTGGGATCTCAGAGAGGTTTGCTGTCTTTACAGTAGGCAGCACCCCACCCCGTATGCAAAATTCCACAACAGGAGTGAGATTTAGTTTAGCGTTTTTGTCACCAAAATGTGAAAGCTTCTGATGGAAAGTCCATTCTGAAACTAAAGTTCAATTAAATTAACTATCTAAATCCCCCCAAACTGACAGTATAATAGTTTTCTAAAAGGTTTTCTAAATTTCAAAAAAAAAAAAAAAAGTATAGTATGTAATAAAATATCCAAGAGGACTAACAGGTACTAGGATTATAGATGACTTTCATTTTCTTCTTTGTACTCTCCCCTCCCAGATGTAAATTTATCACATTTTAACAAGAATGTAAATATTTCATATTTATAAGATGGAAAAAGGCCTTTAGCTTATTGTAATGATTCATGGTCTTTACTTCTTGATTAAAATAACCTGGGGCAGGGCACCTGGGTGGCTCAGTTGTGAAGCATCTGCCTTCAGCTCAGGTCATGATCTCAGGGTCCTGGGATCGAGCCCCAC